GGGGTTTGACTAGTTAGCACCTAACAAAACTTTCTTTCCTTGAGATGGACCCTTTGAGTGAGAGGGACATGATAATTCGTTTTCTTTAATGGGTATAAAGAAACAGATGCTCAGAGAGGTCAGTTAACCTGTTCAAAAACACAGAGCTTGAATTTGAACCCAGACCTCTGGTTCCCAAGGCAGTTAACCACGTAGTGTGACAGCAGGTTTTCACTAAGATGGTCCTTCTACTTGGGAGGCTATGTCCTTTCCCTATTTTTCTTTTGTGCTGCGGGTCATTATTTATTTCAGTTTTTAACTTAAAAAAATTAATTTTAAATAATTTCAAACTTAAAGTAAAACTGCAAGAGTAGTTACAAAGAAATTCTATAACCCTTTACCCAGATTCACTAATTTTGAAGCATTTTCCACGTTTTACAATCCTGTTCTCTCTCTATACCCATTTCTATATATGCATGCACAGGTGCAAGATGTGTGTACACATGCACGCACACCCACGCTATCTTATTCTGAACCATTTGAGCTGATAAGGTAATCCCAAGAACAAGAATATTCTCTTATGTAAATATCAATAGTATCAATTTCTGAAATCCAATTTAATATTGTTACACAACCTGAAGCTACAGTCATGTTCCAGTTTTGTCAACTGCCCCACTCATGTCCTTTGTGGCATTTTTATTTTTAGCGTAGGGTCCCTCCAGGACCATGTATGCATTTGGAGCTATGTCTCCTTAGTTTCCCTCAATCTGGGGCAGTTCTTCAGCCCTTTGTTTGTCTCTTATTATGTTGACATTTGGAAATGTTACCAGTTCTCTCAATTCAGGTTGGTCTGATGTGTCTCCATGATTGGCCTCAGATTATACATTTTTGGAAGGAATATCACAGAAACGATGTTGGCTCCTTCTTAGAGCGTCACATCCAGAGGCACACGATGTCTCTTTGTCCCTAAATGGTGATGTTAATTTTAATGCCTTGGTTAAGATGATGTCCGTTTCTCCAATATATAGCTACCATTTCTCCCTTTGGAATAAGTCATTGCTGAGGAGATACTTTGAAACTAATTTAAATATCTTGCTTTTCATCAAATTCCCCATGCCCTCAGGTTTAGCATCCATTGACTATTCTTGCCTGAATCAGTATTTACTATGATACTCTAAATCCATCATTCCTTTCATATTTATTTATCAGCATTATTGGTTCAGATTCATGGACTCTTGATTTTATTCAATGCATTTTAATCCATTACTGTTCTTACTATATATATGTATATGTTTTGTATGTATGTATTTATTTAGAGATTCAAATTGTCCCAGGCATACACATATTTTAGAAATGTACTAGAAACCATGATTTTATCCCTCCAATTCATGTGCTACCCCACAGGATTCTTCCTTGCTTCCCTCATTCTGTATTTGTATCTCTCCTTGCCCAATCCTACACATCATATAATGTTTGCTATCCTCATCCCATGATGAAAAACAAACCTGAAAAGAGGCCTTCAAGATTGTTTGCAGTCCTGTATTCTTTCTTTTAAAAAAATAAATAATTAATTAATTTTTGGCTGCGTTGGGTCTTCGTTTCTGCGCGTGGGCTTTCTCTAGTTGCAGTGAGCGGGGGTACTCTTCGTGGCAGTGCATGGGCTTCTCCTTGTGGTGGCTTCTCTTGTTGCAGAGCACGGGCTCTAGGTGCGCAGGCTTTAGTAGTTGTGGCTCGTGGGCTCAGTAGTTGTGGTGCACGGGCTTAGTTGCTCCGCGGCATGAGGGATCTTCCCGGACCAGGGCTTGAACCCGTGTCTCCTGCATTAGCAGGCGGATTCTTAACCACTGTGCCACCAGGGAAGCCCCTGCAGTCTTGTATTCTTAAAACTAGAGGCATATTGTCCAAGCATCGTGTTGAAAATTTCCTTGGGTTAATTCTTTTTCTCCCCTTCAGAATAGTTATATTATCCATTTGAAATATGTTTGAATTCATTTGTTTTCTTTTCACTTGGTTTTAGGGCTTTCCTCATTTGTTCATTTAATTTTATTTTTGAGTATATAGAACATTAACATTATTCTAAAAGTCTAAAGCATACAAAAAGCTCCATGAGGAAAAGTGCTATTCCCCAACCCCCATCTCTTCCACTCTGTCCTCCCCCTTCCCTTGCAGGTAGCCATTTAATTAGTTTCTAGTTTATCCTTCCTGTGTTTCTTTTTTCAAGGACCCATCAGCATTCCCACCAGCAACCCATGAAAATGATTGTTTCCACACAACCAATAGAGTGTCCTGTGAAACTTTTACATTATTGCCAATCTGATGGATAGGAAATGGTATCTCAGTGGAGTTTTCAGTTGCATTTTTTATTATTCAGTGAAGTGAAATGTATTTTCATATGTTTAAAGACCACATATTAAGGATATTACCTCTATCGGTGGCATACCTTGCAAATATCTTCTTTCAGGTTTTTACTTCTGTTGACTTTGCTTATGAATTTTTACCACACAATTAAAAAATATTTTTATATAGTCAAATTTCTCAATTCTTTAAAAAATTTCATCTGGACTTTGAGTCATGGTTGAAAAGCCTTTTTCTACACCTAAATTATAGACGAATTTACCCATGTTTTCTTCTAGTACTTGTATAGTTCTTTTTTTTTTTTCATTTAGATCTCTGATTCTTAGTTTATTCTTAAGTATGGTGTGAAGAATGGGTCTAATTTTACCCTTTCTGTTTTTCTTTTTTAATTTATTTATTTTTGGCTGAGTTGTGTCTTCGTTACTGCGTGCGTGCTTTTTCTAGTTGCAGCGAGCGGGGGCTACCCCTCGCTGTGGTGCGCGGGCTTCCCACTGCGGTGGCCTCTCCTGCTGCAGGGCACGGGCTCCAAGCGTGCAGCCTTCATCAGTTGTGGCTCGCAGGCTCCAGAGCGCAGGCTCAGCAGTTGTGGCGCACGGGCCTAGTTGTTCTGCGGCATGTGGTATCTTCCCAGACCAGTGCTCGAACCCGGTCCCCCGCATTGGCAGGTGGATTCTCAACCACTGCGCCACCAGGGAAGCCCCTTTCTGTTTTCAAATGGCTATCCAGTTGTCCCAATAACATTTATTTATAAGTCTTCCTTTATCAAATATTAAATTTCCATTTGTACTTGAGTCTATTGCCAGACTTTCTAACGTATTTCATTGGTCTGCCTATCTATTCATATCCGAGTACCATAGATTTAATTGAAGTATCTGTGCCGTATGCTTTAACATCTGGTCGGGCCAGTCCCCTATCTTCCCCACCCCCTGTCCCTGACATCTTTTTCTTTTCAGTGTTTTCCAGCTACTCTTGCATGCTTATTTTTCTATATGGACTTTGGTATTATCTTGTTTATCTCCAGAAAAAGAAATTGCTAGTATTTTTATTGGGATACAATTAAATTGACAAATTAACTTAGGGAAATCTGATATCTAGATGATGTTGAGCATCTTATTCAAGAAGGAATATCTTTGCATTTGTTCAAGTCTAATTTTGCATCTTTAAGGAATATTTTATAATTTTCTCTATATAGATTCTGCGCAGTTCTTGTTTATTTCTAAGTGTTATATCCTTTTGGTTGTGACTGGGTTTTCTCTTCCATTATGTGTTTTAACTGCTTGTTGTTTGTGTATATGAGACATTGCTTTTGCATGTTAAGTCTATATTCTGATACCTTGCTGAAATCTTTATTGTTTGAGTTTGTTTTATCATTGATTTGCTAGGGTTATGCAAGTATATTACATGTCATCTGCAAATAGAGTTTACAATTCTATGCCGCTACTTTCTCTTGTCTAATTGCTTTGTCTAATACCCCCAGGACTATGTGAAATGGTAGTGAATATGATGAGTAGCCTTGTCTTACAGTAGTGGGAATGCATTTAGTGTTTTCTTAGTAAGATGCTGACTTTAGAAACATGTAAATATGTATATTTAAGGAAGCATCGCTCAATTCCTTTCTCTCAAGATGTATGCTGTATCTATCATCTAATTATCTATATATCATCTAGTTTCTATCTATAATCGATCTATCTATCCATCCATCTATCATCTTCCTATCACCTATGTAATCTATGTATCTATCTATCCATCTGGTTCTCTTTTATCTCATTTAATGCTTTTTGTCCCGAACTGTGAGAATAAGGTCTCTTCCTCCTGCGATCTTTCTCTAGCGCCCTCTACTGACAAAGTTTAATATCATGCCCGGGGGCACAGTAAAACTAAAAAGGTCCAGATTGGTTTTTGCAGAGCAGCAATGAAGGGAGGATTTGGAGTCGAAAAGCAATAAGTCGATAACTATTTTTGCTTTAAACAGTTAATTATACTTTAAATATATTTAAAAATATTTTATCATTGCCCACATATTTACTCTTTCCAGTGCTCTTCATTCTTTTGTGTGTCCATCTAGAATCATCTTGTTTCTCCATAAAGAACTACTTAAAAAAAGTCTTTAGTGAAGACGATAAGCCTCCTCAGCTCTTGTTTGTCTGAAAAAAAAACCCAAACTCTATTTTGCCTTCATTTTTGAAGGAATTTTTTGTTTGTTTTTTTGCTCTTTGAAAGATATGACATTTCCATCCCAGCACTTTAAAAACATCTTTCTGTTGTGTGTGTGTGTGTGTGTGTGTGTGTGTGTGTGTGTGTGTGTTCTTCTGTTGTGTTTTGGCTTGTGTGATTCCTTCTTTTCAAGTTCTTACTTGGAAATAATTTCAAACTTACAAAAATAATAGTGCTTCCATATACCTTTCACTGTACTTCCATACACCATCACATAACCCTAAGACAATGACCAAAACTAGAAAATTATACTGGTACAATATTATATTGATGTTATTCAAGTTTTATCAATCGTCCCACTCTTCCCCTTCAACCACACTTGTCACCAGTCGCAACGACAGTAATTTATTACCAGAGGGGAACCAGGGGAGGATTGGGGGGAACCTCTCACTCCTTTCTGTGGGGTCCCTGGTGCCCGAGTCAGACGCGCTGTGGCTCCAGGGGGCGTCCCCTTAGGTCGGATTCACAACCTTGCCCAGGAAGAGGCTGCTCCACGTGAAGTCGTCGAAGATCATGACAACGAAGGGCCGGTCGAACCGGATTGTGAGAGGCTCGGGCGCCGAGTTCCGGTGGACCTGGGTGCGGGCGGCCGACTCCAAGCCCCTCTCATCCAGTTGCAGCGTGGCCTTATGGACCACCTGGTGGGAACGGACAGAGCGGGGAGGATGAACACCAGCCGCGTGGGCGGAGCTTTCCGAGCCCCTTGGCTTCGACTCCTCCCACCCTCAGCTTTCTGAATGGCGAAGCTGAGGCTCAGAGAAGGTCACTTGCTGGCTCCTCATCTACGTGGCAGCCCCAGGACTAGCGCTGGGGTCTGTCCACCTCTGGAACTCAGGCCACACTTAGACTTCCTCCCTAGAGAGTGGGCAGCTGGAGCCGACCCATGGAGAGCAAGGGACTTGGGGCTGAAACTGGACTTCAGCATCCATATCGGGCTCCCCTCCCCGGGTCCTGGGCTGGTGGAGGGACACCTCGCTCCCTCTCCACTCTGCCAGTAACTGAGAGGGTTCAACTTATGCAAAATGCTTGTGCCCACTCTGTAGGGAAAAGACTCATCTTTGCCTGCTGAAACATCCTTTGTTATGATCAAAATTAGAAGATATTCTCAAGTCAGTGAAACGCTTGAGTAGGTTGCATCAAAAGCATCGGAAAGATCAGAACTGGCTGATTAAATAAAAACACCTACGGGACAGGACTCTCACTGATGGAGCAGCAGGGAATCAGAGGCTCAGAGTGCTCTGTAAATAGGCTAGGGAGAAGCTCAGCTGGGCTAGGAACCCCTGCAGTGTGTTTTGGGAATATGAGGTTTTGAGTCAAATGTCAGGCTATTTACTAGCTCTGTGACCTGAGAAACTAGGGTAACACCCACCTCATAAGGAGGTAGCTGTTTGACTGAGTTCACACACAGGCATTTTATTGAGCACATACTGTGTGCCCACATCATGATGGTCAAAGCCTGTGTGCACGAGGGAGGGGGCTGCTGCCACCACAGCTTCCTCCTGTTCCCTCTCCTGTTTTGTCACCCACAGGACTGTAAGATCAGGGCCACGTCTGAGGCATACCCAGTGTCTAGCACAGTTTGGGGCACATAGAACATGTTCAGTAAATATTTTCTGAATGAATGAATAACAGAACATAAAGCTGAAGGATGGAGATAAAGAACATCATTGGACAGAACATTCCGTGTGATCTCACGCAGACGTTTCCTTTTGCCTGGGGGCTGCTCACAGCCCTGCCATGATTACTTGTCTTCCACAGTGCCCCCTCTGTGTGGCCTGGCAGAACGGTGCACGCCTGAGCTGTGGTGCTCCCTTGTCACTAGCTTCCTGTGTGACCTTGGGGACATCAAGTTCTTGCTGAGCTTTCACGTTGCTTATTATTATTTGTATTGTGAATTTGGGGCGGGAAGAAGGATGGGCTCTAGAGACCCCTACCTTTGGCACCTTCGGCAGGGCCTCTTGGGTGATGCCTGAGAATTGTGTCCGGTTGTTGAGCAAGTCTGCAATGCCCATGTCCCCCATGATGCCCCCGAGGTCGTAGCCTCCGGAAATGGAGACCTTCGGGATGTACAGGTCCACCAGGCTGCTCGGGGTAAGCAGATGGGGTTAGACTTTCCCAGGGCTGGGCCCGGCCAGCCAGATTCCCGTTTCCCCTGTGATCCCTCCAGACCCTGCCTCCCAGCCAGACCTGCTCTTTCGGGACAGGGGAAGGAACAGAACAAGAAGCAGGATCTGCCTCTCCCTCCATCACACAGGCATCTTCCTCTCTGGGCCTCTGAATTGCAAAGTCCTTTCTTCTCAGCTCTTTCTTTGAGCTGATTCCACCTGATCCAGTTAAACTACCAGACACTGAAGCAAAGAATACCTAAAGAAGTCCTTGTGGGCAAAAGAAATAAAAGCAAAAATAAACAAATGGAACTGAATCAAACTTATAAGCTTTTGCACAGTGTTTAAAACCATAAACAAAACAAAACGACAACCTATGGCTGGAGAAAATACTTGCAAATGATGCTACCGACAAGGGCTTAATTTCCAAAATATACAAACAGGTCAAACAACTCAATATCAAAAAACTAAACAACCCAATCAAAAAATGGGGAGAAGACCTAAATAGACATTTCTCCAAAGAAGACATACAAATGGCCAAGAGGTACGTGAAAAGATGCTCAACATCACTAATTATTAGAGAAATGCAAGTCAAAACTACAATGAGGTATCACCTTACCCCAGTCAGAATGGCCATCATTAAAGAGTCTACAAATAATAAATGCTGGAGAGGGTGTGGAGAAAAGGGAACCCTCCTACACTCTTGGTGGGAATGTAAATTGGTGCAGCCACTATGGAAAACAGTATGGAGGTTCCTTAAAAAACTAAAAATAGAGTTACACTATGATCCAGCAATCCCACTCCTGGGCATATATCCAGAAAAGATGAAAACTCGAATTCAAAAAAGATACATGCACCCCAATGTTCACAGCAGCACTATTTACAATAGCCAAGACATGGAAGCAACCTAAGTATCCATCAACAGATGAATGGATAAAGGAGATGTGGTACATATACACAATGGAATATTACTCAGCCATAAAAAAGAATGAAATAATGCCATTTGCAGCAATATGCTTGGACCTAGAGAATATCATACTAAGTGCAGTAAGTCAGACAGTGAAAGACAAATGTTATATGATATCACATATGTGGAATCTAAAAAGTAATACAAATGAACTCATTTACAAGACAGAAAGAGACACACAGACATAGAAAACAAACATAGCTACCAAAGGGAAGAGGCGGGAGGGATAAAATAGGAGTATGGGATTAACAGATACACACTACCATACATAAAATAGATAAACAACAAGGATTTATGGGGGACAAGCACAGGGAACTGTACTCATTATCTTGTAATAACCTATAATGGAAAAGAATGAAAAAAAGGATATATATATAACAGAATCACTTTGCTGTACACCTGAAACTAACACAGTATTGTAAATCAATTATACTTCAATTAAAAAAAAGAAAAAAACAAGAAGTCCTGTGGTCCCCCAAGCACCACCTGGCAGAAATGGAGGAGAGGAGGGAACGTGCAGCTGGGAGCAGGGGTCCTGGCCCCAGCCATGCCGCTAACGCTGTGTGGCTTTAGCCAAGTCCTGTCCCTCTCTGTGCTAGTCCTCATCTACACAGCAAGGGAGAGAGAAGATGCCTGAACCCTGAAGTCAGTGATAGGGCCCCGGCTCTCCAGAGGGTGGAGGGAAGGCATGAGACCTCTGCACTTGAGCACAAGCTGCTCTGGGGAGGTCTGGAAGCTGGCAACCCGGGGGAAGTGAGGAGGAATCCAAGGCCAGTGGGACGTGTGACTTCTCTAGATGGGAAATGGCAACAGAAGGTAAGGGAGGCCGACCCATACCCAGCATTTGGCTGCCCTTCCTGCCCTCCTTTATCTCGTCTAATCCGCGTAGGCACACACAGCCTTACAAACTGGAGCCATCATCTTTAACTTCCAGATTGAGAGACTGAAACTCAAAAAAAAGCTGAGGAATTTCCCCAAAGTCACACCGCTGGGAAGCAGCAGGACCGTGAGGAAACCAGGACTAGGTAACTCGGAGCCCCATCGCCCCAACTCGGAGAGCTGCCCCACGACCTGCGCGGGACCTGCGCGGGCTGCAGCGAGGTGACGGCGGAGCAAGGGGATGGAGAGAGAGGCTCTCGCGAGAGCGCCCCGTGAGTGGGACCCAGAGGCTGCCGGGGGAGGTGGGGTGTCATCTGGGCCCTGAAGGATGCTGAGCTCGGATGCACCGGAGAGCCTGGTGGGGAAGGGCGTGGTGGTGCTGGGAGGGGTGAGGAGGGAGAAGGGGCCACGCAAGCGTGCAGGTGAGCCGTAGGCCACAGCATTGGGATGAAGGAGAGAACTCATGATGTCTAAAGGTGCAAAGTTTTACCTTGAATGTTTTTTTAAAAAGTCTAGAAGAAAATGGTACGTGTTACTGACTAATGTTGTTTAAGTATTGTAGTGAAGAGATTATTTTTGGAGTAAAGAGAAGGGGTATCCTTCGCCTTATTTTCAACACACTAGGGTTCAGAATTTGAATCACGGCGCATTGTCACTACCTGGTGGCCCTGTATCTGAACTACAGGTTCCCTTCGAGGGCTGGGAGTGAAGTGGAGTGGGACGGTTGACCTGAAAGGCTGGCCAATGGCCTCCCCGACTTGCCTCTGGTGCCATTTCCTCTTCCGTGCATACTCTTGGGGAGGTTGCCACTGACTGAACCTCTACTCAGGCTTAAGGCACAGCTCAAAGTGAAAGCAATCTGCTCTGCAGCCCCTTCTCCATTCCCCCGGCTTAGAGCCCGGCGTCCCACCCTCCCTCAAATTGTACACATTATGCATCTCCTTCCCTGTCTTGCTCTGACAGAGCTTATGACATTGTACCACTATTAATTCCACCAGAATCCGTTTTCTGCTCTAGAGTGCATCCCTTCTGCTTAGCCTAGTGCATGGTACATAGCAATTGCTTCCATATATATATTGAATGAATGAATTCCAGACATGGTGCCTGGCCCACGAGGCTTCCTGAGCGACTCTAGATCCAAGTGCTGGCTCCTTCCCCGACAGCCCTCTTCCCTTTGAGTCTGCACCCCGCCACCCAGCTCCCACGTTGGTTGGCTCCTTCACAGACAGAACTCTAATCTCCCAAGAGCGAGGACCGTGTTCTCAAGAACATCTGCTCCCTCCTCCAATGGGAGGATCAGAGCTGGACACAAGTTTGATTATAATTTTGATTCCCCTCTGGTGCAGAGGTTCCTGGGAAAATGAGTTTATTATGTACTTATGTCCTTACTTTCTTATTTACTGATTGACTGATGGAAGAAACATTAGATTCCCTGAGTGACTTAACCATCTGTAGGCTTTGCGTTGGTTCCAGGGTCATTACAGTGGTCATACAGTGGTCATTTTCATTATATCTTTTTATGGTTTTTAGCGGTGCTTGGTCTCAGGTAAGCAATATAATAAAATGGATCAGTGCGGGCTGGGTGATGGGTGAATTCAGCTTAAGAAAAAGATGAAAGATGTGATAATACAGAGGGTGGCTATCAACCTGCTGGGGAAGGTGGACCTCACTTTGTGGAATGCCCCAGACTATCAATAGCTCAGTGTTAATCGACAGAAAGATAAATAAGTGTGACCTCTAGATCAGAGAACCCAGCAGACAGGAAAATAATGAGCCCTGGAAGGCGAGTCTGGGGGAGGAAGGACGGCCAGGTGCACCCCTTTTCCACTTGCCCCACTTTCTGGGAACACGTCCAACTGCAGAAATCAACAGAGCTGGCTGGAGGGCTTACCTGTTGGTCAGGGACTTGGACCACCTCTGAATGGTGTCCCGGCTCAGCATGGCAATGACCGTGTCCATCTTCCCCTTGACCGGGAGGACAAAGAAGACGGTCTCGTTGCCTGTGTAGTCCAGCTGTACCAGCTGGCAGGGGAGCACCGAGTCGTTCAGGTACTTGATGGTGCTCGACTGGAACATCATGGACACCTTCACCGTGGTCGTCTCATTCACGTAGAAGTTATCTTCCCTGGTGCTTTCCAGGTTGAAGGAGTGTGCCCACGTGCCTGGGAAGAGGGGGGAGGGGGAGGGGAGGAGACAGACCTGTGACAGCAGGAGGAAAACGCAACTTGGGTGGCAGCAGAGGGCCAGGGGTGACCGCCAAGCAAGTGACACAGTGGCCTCCCTCAACCTGGAAAGTCCCCACCGGAGCTGCTGGAATTTGCTAAGGTATGAAATTCCCAGAGGTTTAAAGCCTGTTCCATCCTCTACCCTTTGGGATGGCTTGAGGATTAGCACGATGTCTGAGACTGACTTCTAAAAATGGGAAGAGGAAGAGAACAGAGGATGCTGGCCCTAGGATTTGGGAGTAGGGTTCAGTAAAGCAGACTTGGCCTTGTTGCCCCCCTCCCTGGAGTGGCTTCTGGACTGGAGGGCTCTGGAGGTGGTGCTGGGGAACCGACCATCCAGTCCATCCCCACCCCCTGATGTGCGGCGACAGAAGCCCAGCAGGCAGTCTGGCCGCCCAGTCAAATGTACCCACTTTCTTGCCGGAGGCCCCTTGCCTCCCGAGTGGCCCTGAGGGCCGCAGTACCTTTCCCAGAGGCAGAATCAGGGCGAGATGAGTCCTTCAAGGTTACAGACTCCCACCACAGCTAGACTCGACTCCACTCCACCACGTTCCATGATGTCATTATGCAACATTTGTTCCCCTTGTGATGGGGAACTCACTACCTAACAGATGGGACTTTCCACTACTGGTCAACACTGAAGGGAAGGCAACTGCTCCTTAGATGAAGCCAAAGCCTGCCTGATTGTAATGCCTGCCGACTGAGCCTCTTTGACCCTTGAGTTTATTCCAGAGTCCTCTAATAGGTGATAGATCTTTGGATATTTAGACATGGATTGAGTCTCATCAGGGCCTCATCGGCTCTAGGTTAAGTCTCCCCAGGTCTGGAGATGACTGAGGACTCTGAGTCTAGCAGGTCCTGAGTGTCCTGGCTGCCCTTGGCCTCCAGCCCAGAAGCCCTTGTGAGGTCACTGTTTCCCAACTGAGGCTGCCTGAAAGTGGCCAGAGCATAGCCACAGGCAGACATTTCTCTATCCCTCTGCCTGTGGGATCTCTGGACCATGAAGCCAGAACTCTTGGTTCTGAGCCAGCCTCAGCTCCCTGGAAGGGTTACTAAGGGTGACCATGGGCAGTGGCCAGAGGATGTAGGGAAAAGAGCAATGGATGTGGAGCCTGGAGACCCAGGGGCTGTGCCTGGTCCATCCCTAATGACTGAGGCTGTCTCACAGCAAGTGAGATAATTTGCGGGTTCTCAAACCATCTTCTAAAGGAAGTCTGGGGTCCTCAGAATTGAAGGGGGGAGTGCTTTGTGGCTAACTTGTCCAACTCACAACCAAGAAAATGTAGATAAAATATTTTTCAGTGCTAGGTTTTTCATCCTTAGAAGTCTGCTGTGTGCTTTTTACTGAGTATTTCTTTTCTAGAAGCAAGTATAACGTATATCCAGTTTGGCAGAAAACCAAATACAGAATGGGATCTAACCTCTATTTTAAGGGATTTTTTTTGTTGAAAATTCTTGAGTTAGGAGAACTTATGGTAGAGAAACCTAAGAATTGATGAAGGGAAATTGGAGAGAGCAAGGATGAGTCCCTGGAAAATCTTTTAACAATATTTCTAATGTTCTCCGAAAAAAGAGCTGTCGAGACAGTCCACTAAGTAAGGAACATGCCAGGGATACTGTACATGTCCTAAGTTTAGTGATGAGAGCCACCCCATTCTTCATTTCTATTTATTATCCTGGCGTGCTGGAAACATTTCAGAGTATCTCTCAACTTAAACGGGGCTTGTTAATTAGCTTTGCTTGATCACGGAAAATCCGTGTACAAACAGGCACAGGTGAGTGCAGCCCACACTCCTGTCAATGTCTGTTCCTGCGTTCAAATGTTCAAATCCTCTCTGATTTTATTACCAGGAACTACTGTTTCCCATCAACTCAGCCCCACTGTGGTCATGAGAATGCTTAGAAACTGTGAGAGCAAAGCCGTGCGCCAAATGACACCCTGCCAGCCCCTGTCCTGCCAGCCCCCGCTCAGGCTCCTTGCAGGCTCAGGAGGGCCCTCTCTCTCTCTGGGCTTTCTGTGCTCTTCTCCCCAGGCTGTGTTACCAGAACCTCTATGCAACCACTTTGGAGTTACTTCCATTTACCAAGCACTATGCAAATGCACTGGACCTCCCAAAGAGATGAGGATGCCATGCACAAGAGTGAATAGTCTAGTGGGAGAGATGGCCTGGAGAATTCATGGGAGCATGCAGAAACATTTCCGGGCAAACATTCCCTGACTCCTTGGCCCCCCAGGGTCAAGAAGAATACTGCCTTTTGTGTGGGACCACAGAAGATCTTAAATAGCCAAAGCCATCTTGAGAAAGAACATAGTTGGAGGCATCACACCTCCTGATTTCAAACTGTATTATAAAGCTATAGTAATCAAACAGTATGGTACAAGCATAAGGACAGACACATAGACCAATGGAACAGAAGTGAAAGCCTAGATATAACCCCTCCCATATATAATCAACTAAGATATGACAGGGGAACCAAGAATACTGAGTGGGGAAAAGATAATCTCTTCAATAAATGGTGCTGAGAAAACTGGATATTCACATGCAAAAGAATGAAACTGGACCCCTATCTTACATCATTCACAAAAACTAACTTGAAATATGTTAAAGACTTAAACATAAGACCTGAAACCATAAAACTCCTAGAAGAAAATGTAGGGAAAAAGGAACTCTTTGATATTAGTCTTAGCTATGAGTTTTTTTTTTTTTGAATATGACACCAAAGGCATAAGCAACAAGGGAAAAACTAACAAGTGGGATCACATCAAACTAAAAAGCTTCTGCCCAGCAAAGGATACAATCAATAAAGTGAAAAGGCAACCTATGGGATGGAAGAAAATATTTGCAAAACATACATTTGATAAGGGGGTAATATCCAAAAATATATAAGGAACTCATACAAGCTCAATAGCAAAAAAAAAAAAAAGCCCCAAATAATCAAATTAAAAAATGGGCAGAGGACTTGAATAGATTTTTTTTCCAAAGAAGATGTACAGATGGCCAATAAGTACAAGAAAAGGTGCTCAGAATCACGAATCATCAAGGAAATGCGAATTGAAACCACAATAGCACTTCACACCTATCAGAATGGCTATTATCAAAAAGAAAAGAGAAAACAAGTGCCGGCAGGATGTGAAGAAAACGGCACCCTTGTGCACCGTTGGTGGGAATGTAAAGTGGTGCAGCCACTATGGAGAACAGTATGGAGGTTCCTCAAAAAATTAAAAATAGAACTACCATATGCTCCAGCAATCCCACTTCTTGGTATATATCAGAAGGAAATGAACCCACTATACTGAAGAGATATCTGCACTCCCATGTTCATTGCAGCATTATTCACAATAGCCAAGGCGTGGAAACAGTCAAGTGTCCATCAATAGATGAACGGATAAAGAACAAGGTGTGTACACGCACACACACACACACACACACACACACACACACACACCCCAAATGGAATATTACTCAGCCATAAAAAAGAAGAGAATCCTGTCATTTGCAGCAACATGGATGAACCTTGAGGGCATTATGCTACGTGAAATAAGGCAGACAGAGAAAGACAAATACTGTATGCCCTCACTTATATATGGAATCTAAAAATACAGAATTTGTAGAAACAGAGAAAAGAATGATGGGGTAGGAGGTTCGGAGAAGTGGGTAAAGGTGGTCAAAGGTACAAACTTCCAGTTATAAGATGAATAAGTTCTGGGGAACCTAATGCACAGCATGGTACTATGGTTAATAATACTGTATCATGTACCTAAAAGTTGCTACGAGAGCAGATATTAAAAATCCTCACCCCCTGGCCCCAACACACAAAGGTAACTGTGAGGTGATAGACGTGTTAACTATTATCTGCGTAATCATCTCACTATATATATATATATAAAATCATCCCATTGTATACCTTAAGCTTACATGATAAGTCATTTATATCTCAATAAAGTGGGAGAAAAAAGAAAATGCTGCCTTTGCTGGTCAGTCTCTCACCCTCACTACCATCCAAGAAGGGAGGCCTTTGCCAGGTGGGTTCCCAGACTTGTGTTGGAGAATAGACAGAGAAAGACAAAGAGGCAGGAGGATGGCTCACCAAGATGCTAACTCTGTCCAGGTAATAAAGATCTGGGGGAGGGAAGGGGTTCAGTTGGCTAATGGAGGGCCCTGAGTGAGAGCTGGGGAGGAGAGAAATGGGCATATGGGATAATCTTTATGTTGTTGAGAGACACATTAAATATTATACTTTTTTTTTTGGCTGTTTTACCTGCACTTCTTTGTATATGACTACTTAATTGAAACTGAACCACTTGGGTCCAGGTTTACACGTTCTAACAAGATGCATATTAAAATTCGGTGTGGGCAAACTGCAGAGGATGCGTATGAGAGACAAAGATTTGCTGGAGAGAATCAGGGGAGGCTTCACGGAGGTGATGACTTTTGAGCCAAGATTTGAAGGGTGGGTAGAAGTTTTAGGCAGTCAGACAAGTTGAGGGAGGGCTCAGGGGACAGAATGGGCACGGGCCTTGTGTCAGGCAGAATGCCCCCCCGCCCCAAGGATGTCCTAATCCTTGCAACCTGTGAATATGTTATGTTACATGGCAAGAGGAAATTAAGGCTGCTAATCAACTGACTTTGAGTTGAGGAGAATTTTCTGGATTATCCAGGTGGGCCCACTGTAATCACAAGCATCCTTAAAAGTAGAAGAGGATGGCAGGAGGGTCAGAGTCAGAAAGGAGACGTGATGGAAGTAGAGGTCAGCGCAATGCGATTACTAGCTCTGAAGAGGGAAGGGGGCCTCAAGCCAAGGAATGCAGGTAGCTTCTACAGGCTGGAAAAGGCAGGGAACAGATCCTCCCCTAGAGCCTCCAGAAGGAACACACCCTGGCATCCCCTTGACTTTAACCCAGAGTGGCCCATTTTGGACTTCTGACCTCCAGAATTGTAAGTAATAAATTGGTGCTGTTTTAAGCCACGAAGTTTGCCGCGATTTGTTACAGTGGCGATAGGGAACTAATACAGACTTGCATGGGGAGAGTCATGCTCGAAGACACGAAAGGAGTTTGGCGTGATTGGATATTGTGTGTGTGTGTGTGTGTCTGCTGTGTATTGGGAACTTGTATAGGGGAAAATGTTGAGACCTGAGTCTGGACAAGGCAGAAGAAACAGATGATTTCTCAACCTTGGGACTCTAGCCATTTGGAGGCAGATATCACTGTGGGGGGCTGTTCTGGGCATTGTAGGGCGTTGAGCTTTCTCCTTGGCCTCTACCCACAAGATGCCAGTGGCACACCCCACCCCACCCCCAGTTGTTACAACTCACAATGTCTCTAGACATTGCCAAATGTCCCTGAGGGTGGATGGGGGTGGGAATCACCCTGGGTTGAGGACCACTGCTGTAGACTAAGGACTGTAGATTTCATTCTGGAGGATAATGTATCCCCAAATTACCTGCTCGTCAAAACGATTGGGGAGGGGCCTTGTTAAAAGTACACATTCTAGGACATTCTTGCATCAGTTCTGCTCTAGTAGATCTGGTGTGGGCTCTGGAATCTGTAATTTTAACAAGTCTCCGTGGTGATTTTTATGGACAGGCATTTTGGAAAACTTTGCTCCGAACTGGTGAGGTGGGGCTGTGGTTTGGCTGCGAGGGGTCTGGGCTGGAGCTGGCTCGGGTGGTGCGTGCAGGAAGGCTTATGGGCCGTCTGGAAGTTCCTGAGGGTGGCGGCTGTGTCTGTCTGGTTCTAGGCTCTATTTCCAGCCTCTGACCAAGTGCCTGACTCACAGCCAGACCTTGGTCAATATTTGTAGACCACTAGGCAGCCAGACTGTTCGTGGTTACGTGTTTGGGCCTTGAAACAAACTGCAAGGGCTTGGGCAAGTTGCTCTACTGGGTGTCATTTTGATCCTTGGTAGGGATGATATAGTTTCACCTTTCTAATAGTATCAAGAGCACACCCTTAATTTTGATGGCTTTTACTATCCTTGGCAATAGTAGATGGGGCCTTGTCAGAACGGGATGGGTGAGGGGTACCTTTAAAGAAGATGTAGTTGATCAGGATGAGCATGGCTGAGCTATCTTGCTCTGAGAACAAGTCCACAATTTTCCCTTGCGTCTTATTTCTGATATATTCGTTGATTTGTCTGCTGGCTCCTGCCCAGTCCTGGAAGTCTGCATTCAAGGCCTCCAACTCATAGTAGTGCTTGGTGTCTGCTGAGAATGACTCCAGAAGTTCCAGGCTGTGGTCCAGGAACATGGCATTGCCCATAGTCATTTCCAAGGTGGTGTTTGACTCCCTGAGGAGGTGGTGGAGATGCCGGAAGCCCTGGTGGATCTCGGCTTCGGACATCTCAGTGAGGTTGAAGCCCAGGCCTTGGAGAAGCTGCTCCCGCGTGTAGCCTCTGGCGCCCAGGGACAGCATAGCCAAGGCTGTGGAGATGCTCACAGGGGAGATGAAGACATTCTTGCCCGGAGCTGAGGCCACTAAGTGCTTATACAGGGTAAAGGCAAAGTCAACGTTGTTTGGAGCCAAGTGCCGGTGAGGGTTCCTCATGCTCATGTCAGTGTCAGGGTCCTTAGCCTGGATGGTCCAGAGCCCACTGGTAGACAACCAGAGGAGACAGATGTACAGGGTGAACAGCATTGTTCAGGATGGCCAGGCCCTGGAAAATCAGAAATGCTCATTAGATGATGTGGGGCCTCCGAGGCAGTGGGGCATGGGGAGCAGTAGGCAGAAGACCCCATTGAAGACCCCCCTCAAGCTCCAGTTTCTTCTTCCACATTGGCTGTGTGACCTGGGGCAAGTCAGGACTCTGGGCCTCAATTTCCTCACCTGAAAGTATGAATTACACCTGCTATGATTTATCAAATACCTACCAAGTTTCCAAAATTTTGCCTCACCGACAATAAAGTATATATGATTCTTTTGGTTTCAGGTAGGCAGAAGTGGAAGCTCAGAAAGGTTAAATAACCGCTCAGTTGATATAGTCAAAGTACTGAAAGAAAAAACTATCCACCAAGAGTACTATAGCAGGCAAAACTGCCCTTCAAAAGTGAGCGAGAAGTTAAGACATTCCCCGATAAACAAAAGCTGAGGGAGTTCATTACCACTAGACCTCTCCTACGAGAAATGCTAAAGGCAGTACTTCTGGTTAAAATGAAAGAACGCCAGAAAGTAAATAGAATCTGTAAGAAGAAATAAAGATCTCTGCTAAAGGTAAATATATGAACAAGTATCAAAGCTAGTATTATTGTGATTTTGGTTTGTAATTCCACTTTTTATTTTCTATGTGATTTAAAAGACTAATGCATAAAAAGTAATTATTCATATATGTTTTGGGACCCACAATGAATAAAGCTGTAATCTGTGACTTAACTGAAAGGATGTGGGAATGGAGCTATATAGGAGCGATTTTTGTATGCTACTAAAGTTTATCTGGCATAAATTCAAATGAGAGTGTCATAACTTCAGGATGTTAAATGTAATTTCCATGATAACCAGAAAGAAAATAGTTATAGAGTATGCACGAAAGGAGGTGAGAAGGGAATTAAAATGTTTCACTACAAAAAATCAACTAAACACAAAAGAAGACAGTAATGCAGGAAATAAAGGACAAAAAAACTATAAGGCATACAGAAAACAAATAGGAAACTGATAGAGTGGTCCCTCCATATGAGTAATTACTTTAATGTAAATGGATACAATTCTCCAATCTAAAGACAGAGATTGACAGAATGGGTTAGAAAAAGAAACAACTATATGCACACTACAGAAGACTCATTTTAGATCCAAAGGCACAGATATGACAGTGAAAGGATGGAAAAAGATATTCCATGTAAAGAGACACCAAAGGAGAGTGCAGCTGGCAGAAGAAAGAAAACAATAAAGATTAAAGCCCAGACAAATAAATAGAAAATAGAAAAAGGAGAGAAAATCAATGAAACCAAAATATAATATATCTAATCAATATAGTATTATATAGTAAGGTAACATAATATAATAATATAACATTATATAATATAATATAATGTCATCTTCAAAGAGATTAACAAAATTGACAAGCCTTTAGCTAGACTGAGTAAGAAAAAGAGAGAGAAGTCTCAAATAACTAAAATCAGAAATGAAGTAGGGACATTACTACCTATTCTACAGAAATTTTAAAAAATTCTGAGAATACTATGAAAAAATTGAAAATGACACACCAACAAATTGGGTAACCTAGATGAAATGGAAAATTTATAGAAACACAAAACATACCAAAATTAAACCTCAAAGAAACAGAATGTCTGAATAGACCTATAAGTAGCAAGGAAATTGAATCAGTAACTGAAAACTTCCCAAAAAAGAAAAGTCCAGGATCACATGGCTTCAGTTTTGAATTCTACCAAACATTTAAAGAAGAATTCACACAAATTCTCCTCAAACTCCTTCAAAAAAAATTAAAGAGGAGGGAACACTTCCTAACTCATTCTTTGCCCTGATACCAAAGCCAAAGACACCATTAGAAAAGAAAACTACAGACAAATATTGCTTATGAACGTTGATGCAAACATCCTCAACAAAGTGCTAGGAAATAGAATTCGGCAGTGTACTAAAAGGATTTTACACTATGACCAAGTGGGATTTATTCCTGGAATGCAAGGATGGTTCTGCATACACAAATTGATCAATGTAAATACCACATTAAAAGAATGAAGGAAAATAATCATATGATCATCTCAACTGATGCAGTAAAAGCATTTGATAAAATTCAACACCCCCTTTCATGTTAAAAACACTCAACAAACTGGGAGTAGAAGGAAACTACTTCAGCATAATAAAAGCCATATATGAAAAGCCCACAGCTAACATCCTACTCAATGGTGAAAGACTGAAAGCTTTTCACCTCAGATTCAGAACAAGACAGGATGCCTACGTTTGCCTCTTCTATTTAACACAGTATTGGAAATTCTAGCCAGAGAAATTAGGCAAGCCAAAGAAATAAAATGCATCCAAATTGGAAAGGAAGAAGTAAAATTATCTCTGTTCACAGGCAACACGATCTTATACATAGAAAACCCTAAAGACAACAAAAAACTTATGAGAACCAATAAATTCAACAAATAAATGGGATACAAAATCAACACACAAAAATCAGTTCTGTTTGCATATACTAACAATGAGCAATCTGAAAAAGAAATTAAGGAAACAATTCCATTTATAATAAAATTAAAAAGAATAAAATACCTAGGAGTTGAGTTAGCCAAGGAGGTTAAAGGCTTGTACACTGGGAACGTTGCTGAAAGAAATTAAAGAAGATATAAGTAAATAGAAAGACATCCTGTGTTCACAGATTGGAGGATGTAATATGTAAGATGTCAAAACTACCCAAAGAAATCTATAGGTTCAATGCAATTCTTATCAAAATCCCATGATATATTTTGCAGAAATAGAAAAATCCATCCTGTAAACTTGGAGAGCATTATGCTAAGTGAAATAAGTCAGAGAAAGACAAATACTGTATGATACCACTTATATGTGGAATCTAAAAAATATAACAAATTAGTGAATATAATAAAAAAGCCGACTCACAGAGAACAAACTAGTGGTTACCAGTGGGAAGGGGAAAGAGGAAATATAGGGGTGGGGGAGTGGGAGGTACACACTCCCTGACTTCAGACTATACTACAAAGCTACAGTCATCAAAACAGTATGGTACTAGCACAAAAATAGAAAAAAAAAAAAAGATAAGTGGAACAGGATAGAAAGCCCAGAGGTAAATCCATGCACCTATGGTCAACTAATCTATGACAAAGGAGGCAAGAATATACAATGGAGAAAAGACAGTCTCTTCAATAAGTGGTGCTGGGGAAACTGGACAGCTACATGTAAAAGAATGAAATTAGAACACTCTCTAACACCATACAAAAATAAACTCAAAATGGATTAAAGACCTAAATGTAAGGCTGGATACTATAAAACTCTTAGAGGAAAACATGGGCAGAACCCTCTCTGACATAAATTGCAGCAAGACCTTCTTTGATCCACCTCCTAGACTATGAAAATGAAAACAAAAATAAACAAGTAGGACCTAATTAAACTTAAAACCTTTTGCATAGCACAGGAAATCATCAACAAAACGAAAAGAAAACCCACAGAATGGGAGAAAATAAGTTCCAATCATGACTTGGTCTTTCTGGTGACACCCCCCCCATCCTGAAGTCATCCAGGAGCTCACCCAGAGTTGCCTCATTAGAGCAAAGGACACTGCAGTCACCCAGGAAATTCCAAGGGATTTTGGAGCTCTCCCTCAGGAAGCAGGGTCAAAGACCAAATATTAGAAAACAAATATTAGAAAAAAAGATGCTTCTAATGTTCTTATCATTTAGGAAATGACAAGGGTTTTAGGAGCTCTGCACCAGGAACCAGGGGCAGAGATCAGTATGTATATTTTTCTATATTTCACAGTGGTATATGCCTGTGGTTGAATACTATTCAGTCTTCAAAAAAATGAAATTCTGATACATGCTACAGCATGGATGAATGAACATTGAAGACATTATGCTAAGTGAAATAAGCCAGTCACAAAAGACAAATGTTGTGTGATTCCACTCACATGAGAGCCCTAGAGCAGTCAAATTCATAGAAACAGAAAGTAGAATAGTGGTTAACAGAGGCTGGGGGGAGGGGGAAATGGGGAGTTAGGGTTTAATGGGTAGAGTTTCAGTTTGGGATGATGAAAAAGTCCTGGAGATGAATAGTGGTGATGGTTTCACAACAATGTGAATGTATTTAATACCAGAGAACTGTACACTTAAACCTAGTTGAAATGCTCAATCTTTGTATATCTTACCACGATACAAAATTAATTATAAGCCATGAAAAGTGTTTGATAAGCGCAATTCAAAAAATGCAGCCAGGCTCAGAATCAGTAAGTGGACACTCTGTCTGCAAGGCCAGTGGTCCCAAGCTCTGAGCTTTATGGAATCCCCTGTAGCCCCATAAAGAAGGGATACTTACAGGAGAAGCTGATTCCCCTGCACCACCCCACCTACGGGACTAGCCATGCTGGGAGGGGGCTGGGAACCCGCAGTAAAACCAGTCCCAGGAGAATGCGTGCACGTTGCGTGTGGGAAACCCTGGTCTGCTTTGGAGCACCCCCGAGGCCTTTTCCCTGGCCTGTTCCAAACCCAGAACCTCATGAAAGCGGGCTGTAAACACACCCCTGACCTCCCTCAGCCCTCCTCCAACCCTCCCCGCCTGTCTCCCTCCACGTGGTAGAAAAACAAGCACATTCCTTGCTTCTTGGCTTTGATCACTGCCCTGACGCCCTGCCCCCTCCCTCCCCAGCCGCCTGGCTTTACAGACAGTTCTCCTTTTTCCTGGGCTTTGTGGCAGACCAAGTCGAATGAGGATCTCAGCATTGCTATTTATGACCTAGGTGACATGGGTGCACTGTTTAAAACTCTTCCCGTTTCCTTGGCATAAAATAGAGTTGATAGTAATACCCGCCCCAGGCCTGGCCCATTTACCTTCTAAATTTCTGGGGTTTGTCTTCGCTTCTTCAGTCTCAGGACACAGCCCAAGTTCGGGGCTTGGCATCTCTCCCGTTGCCCCCTCCCCGCCCCCACCTGTTCTCCTTTCCTCCTGCTCACCTCCTGCCAGCCTTTCTTTCCTCTGCAACTAGGGCATCTTTCCAAAATCAAGCGGATGGGCCATTCTCCTGCAGAAAAGCTTTCAGTGACTCCCATTGCCTGCGGGCAGAGCTGATCCTCACTGACGTGGCCCAGGGAGTCCTCATGCCCCGTCCCTGGTGACAGTACCACCCCCAGCCTCAAATCTGGCCTCTTGAAGTCTCAGTCACAGCAACACTGGGTGTCTTGTGGTGTCCTCCCAGCACATATCAGACTTTCATCCCTCTGCCTGGGTCAGGCCAGGGAGGTCATTCCATTCCCCAATGTTTGCAGAGCCCGGCTCTGGCCTGAGAGCTGGGGACAAAGATGGGCCTGTTCCAGTCCTGCCCCATGTGGGTCCACTCTGTCGGCCCGTCCCCTCCTTGTCATGCCTGGCTCACTGCCTCTTGTCCTTTGGCACGCAGGTCCTGGGTCACCTCCTCCAGGAAGCCCTCCTGTGTGCCTCTCTCTGTCACTGCCCCCATCAGACTGTAGTGAAATCTTTGCTTCAGCCCTAGCCACCTCCACACCTCCACCTCTTTGGTCCCTTCTTGGGCAAGGACGCCATGCAGTTCACAGCCTGGAACGAGATGGGCTTGCCCCCAATAGAAGTTCTTTTCCCTTCCCTTCTCTACCTGTTGTCTCTGAGATTTTGTGCCTCATCCCCTCCTGTGCTAATCCTCCAAGATGGGGATTAAATCTCTACCCACCTCAAAAGACTTTTGTGAATATCAGTCACAGCTGTTATCAGTGCTTTCTTTAGTGACCTCACTTCATGGGTCGTCCTGGGCCCATTGTACAGATGAAAAAACTGAGGCCCAGGGAGTAAAAGCTGAAATTCCAAGCCCTGCCGTCTGACTTTGGAGCCTGTGCCATGCTGTTCTGCCTTTCTCTAGAGTGAAACAGCTCTCTGAAAAGTACCCAGCAGCGTAAAAATGCAGAGTATCAACATTATCCATGAATTTCATTTCAGGTGTGTCCTCCTTGTCCCTCATTTTTGAAGTGACACACACAGTAAACACCCACTGTGTTCTGTTTTTCCAAATGCCCCCATAAGCCAGGTATAGTCCCAGGTACAGTCCTAGGCCCTGTGCATTTAAACCTCATACCACGTGGTGTAATGCTGGTAGTTCCGTCCTATCTGCAGGATCCTTGCCCCAGGTCACTGGGGGAGGAGGTGTGTGTGATTCTGTAGGATGCACAGTCTGTGCTGTGGCAGCCGGGCAATGCCCTGTCCTGCCTGTGTCCCCGGCAGAGGCGTTGTGTGGTGCTGATGCATCCCAGCTCTCAGACTCCATCTCTGAGGCTGTGATGGCTGTTAGGCTGGCCTTAGGAGCATCATGCGATGGCTGGGAATGGCTCTTAGTTCAATGTCAGTCCCTGCAAGGCAGGAGCCCAGGAGAAATAAAAACCCCTGTGGGTAACCCACAGACTCTGAAAAACCCTCCCCAGGGTTGCCTCTTATCACTGCTGGTTGCCCTAATGCTCCATGCCCCATTAAAAAAAAAAATGAAATGAGCAAGACACAGTCGTGGCTTCATTCTGGAGGGTGGGCAGGAGCGGGGGAATGGAGAGTCCTTAGCTGTTACTCACGGTCTGCAGTGGGCTCGGGCTGCAAGTGCTGGCTTGGTCCTGCTGTCCCGGATCCTGTCATGTGTACAGTAAGCCGGCGGGGCGGCTGCTGCTCAGTCTTGTTTGCCAGCTTTCCTGCTGGTTAATGGTTAGAGGGGGGCCAGTGGCCTTCACCATTTGGTGGTCTCCTCCCCCTAGTCATGAACCAATGGGAGCCTTTTCCAGGAAATTTGAGTAAACACAGCAATACTGCGAATTAACTTTCTTCGGCGTACAGTTCCCTGAGGTTTTATTTTTTGATATCAAAATGTGGCTGGAGTTGCGTCAGTGTTTGTGGTTGCCCAGGGGCAGCTGGCACAGGAGCCACAGGTGCCCTTAATTAGAACGATGGTGCTGACAGCTGTGAAGAAGCGGGTGCTGAGCTTGGGCTGGGAATGAGACCAGCAAGGTCCTGCCTTCAAGGGGGGCAATTGTCTGATGGGAAAGACAGACGTGGAATAAAAGGCAGCCCAGTGATTCCCATGCATTATGTCATTTAGTCTTCACAACGACTCTATGAAATGGATACCATTATTATTATCACTCTTCTCTAGATGGGGAAACTGAGGCACATGACGCTTAAGAGAGCTGCCCTTGAGATTCGAATCCAAGACCATTTACCTCTGAAATCTCGCACCTTCACTTCCCTCTTCCCCACATTTTTATTCATCAGTTCTCTTTTGATTGCAGGTGACAGATGAAGTTCAAACAGCTTTAAAGCAAAAAAGAACATTTATTGGATCTCCTGAAGGAGAGTTCTGAAGGGTGGAGGGGGACGCTTCAGGCCTGGCTGGATCTAGAGGTCCCAGGATGGTCATCAAATCTCTGTCTCTTTAAAGAAAAAATTCTTAGTTCTGCTTTCCTGCTTTAGTCTCTCTGTGGTGGAGACAAAGGCAGCCACTGCAGCTACAGGTTACTTGGGTCTAACTGGTTATTTGATATCAGAAGGAGAGAGATTCACTTTTTTTCAGTGTTCATATCAGCCCCCACAAAGGACGTGATTGCCCATCCTTGGACTGATAGAGTGTGCAGAAGAACAGGGCATTGTGAATGGCCAGCTAGGGTCCTGTGTCCTCTGCTGGGTTGATGACGCCATTACTACCCCGCAGGTATGAGGGGAGATGTTCCCATGAGGCCCACAACTGTGTCAAGAGTTTTGGGGGCACACTTCAGTTTTATTAATAGTTATTGGTCTTTTCAAGTTTTTTATTCCTTAAGCCAATTATAGAATTTATAACTAGGAATTTACTATTTTTCAAATCTCTGTCATATCAGTAGTTATTTTTAATTTTTGTTGGTTCTATGTTTTATTTATGTATTTCCTCTCTCTTTTTTTTTTCCTTGATGAGTCTTGTTAGTCTATCTAGCTAATTAATCTTTTCAGAGGACCTGATTTTAGTTTTGTTAATCCTTATTGTTTTTTTAAAATCCATATTTCATTGATTTCTGCTTTTATTTTTTTAACCATCCTTTCACATTCTCTGAATTTTCCTCTGCTCTTTTTCTATTTTCTTGAGTTAAATGCTTAGCTTTCTTACTTTTTAACATTTCTGCTATCCATATAAATATATTTAAAGTTTTCATCTAAAAACTGACTTAACGATGTCCCACAAATATTCTCATTGTTATTGTTTTCTAAATATTTCTTAATTTCCCTTATGGTTTCACTTTTAACCCAGGGATAGTTTAATAATATGTCATTTTGTGTATTGAGAATTTTAGGCTACTCTTCTGTTATTAACTTTTATTTATATTTCATTATGATAAAAAATATCATGTATATGATATTGAAGATTTGGAATTTATTGAGGTTTTTTTGCAATCACATATGGTCTCTTTTTGTAAATATTCCATATTTTCTTATGAAATATTGGGCATTACCTGTTTGATATGCATATATATGCATACGCTTAAGCTTATTATTTTATTCAACTCTTTCATATCTATGTGGATTCCTTATTTACTTGAGCTTTCAGGTTCTCCATAGGGAATGTTAAAATCTCCAATCACAATTGTTCATTTATTTATCTGTCAGGTGTTGGTTGATATACTTTGCAACGGTCACGCGGTGACAGAGTGACTCCTGTAACTCTTTGTTCTGGCAATGTTTGCCCTTTGAGTTTATCTTGCTTTTTGTCCTTAGGGCACACCACACAATTCTTAAAGGTCTTCAGCAAGAAGCTCCCCACAGGGTTTGGGGTGGTCCCCGAAAGACCAGCAAATCATTATCCATGACTTAATGCAGGGCCGAGGTCCTTAACTGGAGGAAACGTGCTATGAGGGACATTATTGGGACAATCGAGAAAACTGGAATATGGATGGTATGTTAGAGAAGAAGATTGTACCAGTGCTAGATTTCCTGAAGTTAATAGCTTTACTAAGAAAGTAATATCCCAAATTCTTAGGAAACGTACATGGAAGTATTTAAGGGTAAATGGTCATGATGTATAAAATTTACTCTCAAATGATTCTTTAAAAAAAAAAAGTACATACACACACACATACATACATGCGTATACACACATGGGGTTGCTGTGAAGACCGGACTGTACCGTGAGCCTAGCACAGCAGAGGGCACGTGGCAAGGCCTCATTCAAGAGAAGTGTTGCTAGAATTGTTATTTTATCTCCCCAGGTCCCCATGGAGTGTGGGATCCTGTTTAGATAGTGCCTGACTAGAAGTCCTTTTCTTTAATCATCAACCTCTTAGCCCCTTAAAATAGAAAAATAATTAAAAAAATAGAAGAACATTTTTCAGAAGCACTGTTGAGCCAGATGTCTGTGTGTTCCCAGTTCCCTGCTGGTCTGTGCCCACTTGGTCCTAGCTAGTGGCCTCCAGGTGAGTGGGACCTGCTCCCTGCTTACCAGGAGGCCCACTTCAGTTGTTCCCTCTGGGTTAGTCACTGCTGCATCTGAGTCTCATTTGGGAAAGATGTATCTTTCAGGGTTCACCCCAAATCCAGGGAAGCTTCTGGCTGGAGCCCTCTTTGAACGAGCATCTCCTCCTCTGAAATTACCCCATTACAGATGTGTTGCTCTTGGTTTCTCTTTCCCAATTCTGCCAACCACAGAAGTGGTGACTGGGAGGCTTGCTCAGGGCCTCCTAACTTTGCCAGCTGTGTGGATAAGTGCTCTTTGAAATCCTGCCTCCAGGAAAACAGGGCCCTGCCTGGCGTGGGACAGGTCACATCAAGCCAGAGACCTGCAGTGAGGGGACCTGCCGGGGAGGAGCCTTGGATGGCCTTTGCTGAGCCTTGGCCAGCTGCTTACCTGAGGGATCATGAATTGTGTTGGCAAAAAAGGATGCCAACCTGTACTTGTGGCCAGCATGGAGGTGGCGTGGGTAGGTTGGGTTAAATCTTGGGGTTCAGAGACTGGACTTGAGGGGATCCTCGCTGGTCCTAGGGCCTGTCTCTGTTGTAGATCAAGGGAACTGCGTGTAGTTCCTGCAGCCCTGCAGGCCTTCATCACTGGGATCACCTGTCCCACCCGTAGGCTTAGCCTTCAGACAATTCCTGGACCAAGCAGGACTCTAACCCCCTGGGCCGTCCTCCTCCTGGACAGGCAGGAACACAGCCCAGAGGCACCATTACTTTGCTGATAAGGTTCTGCATTGGCTGGCTCACCCCTTTTATCTCCCTTCTCACTTCTCTGCCACTTCCTGCCCTGCTCTGGTATCACAGCCCTATGTAAAGCACTGGGCATGGGGTCTGGCTCCTGGTGAGGGTAGTAGCGGTATTTACTGCGCTGTCGCTGGGTACCAACTCTGGTGTACATGGATATTTACCGATTTGATTCTCACAGGAACCTACCAGGCAGGTATTATTATCATCTCGGATAGGATAGCAGTCAAGAGCATGGACTCTGCGTTTGATTTTAGACCTTAGGAGATGATACCAGGCAAATTACTAAGCTCACCATGCCTCAGCTGAGAAATGCAGATTCTAGTTATCTAGAACCTCTCTAGGTTGCTGTGAAGATTGCATATGGCGGAAGAGCATAGAACAGGGCTGCTATGTTCTGAGTGCTATGTGAATGCATGATTACACGCACACCTCGTCTTATCGTGCTTTGCTTTATTGCACTTGGCAGGTATTGTGTTTTTTACAAATTGAAGTTTTGTGCATACTGGAAGTCTCATCAGCGCCATTTTCCCAACAGCATTTGCTCACTTCATGTCTCTGTGTCACATTTTGGTAATTCTTGCAATATTTCAAATTTTTCTTTATTATTATATTTGTTATGGTGATTTGTGATCAGTGATCTTTGATATTACTATTGCAAAAAGACTTCGATTTGCTGAAGGCTCAGATGCTAGTATTTTTTAGCAATAAAATATTTTTAAAATTAAGGTATGTACATTGTTCTTTTAGATGTAATGCCGTTGCACACTTAATAGACTACAGTATAGTGTAAACATAGATTTTATAAGCCCTGGAAAACCAAAAAAATTTATGTGACTGGCTTTATTGCAATATTTGCCTTATTGCAGTGGTCCGGAACCAAACCCGCAATATCTCTGATGTATGCCTGTATTGCTATTCTCATTTGGCAGACTGGGAAACTGTGGCAGAGAGAGGTTAGAATGTTACTGAGTCCAAGCTCGTACTGCTTGCCATACCACAGGCCAATGAATGGACAGACAAGACGCTGGGGCAAGGAACAGAGACTTTATTTGGAAATCCAGCTGACTGAGAAGATGGTCCCAAAGAACCATCTTCCTAGAGTCAATTCAGGCTTCTTTCTTACTAAAGGGCTGGGTGTGACTTGTTACTGCTAACTTCTTGGTCCTGGTTGGACTCCCTGAGGGGATGTGATAATCCCTTGTTTTTGCGCTCTCCAGGTAGGTCTAGTCATCATGTTCCTGCAAACCTCCAACAAGACAAATGCTATTTTCTGTAAAAGTGTTACACCTTTAAAGGTCAAGCCTGGGAGGCAGAGCCTTGAGCCGTGGGCTATCGTGTACATTTCAGGCTATAAGCAACATTCTTTTACAAAAGGTGCAAAGCCAGCATGACTAAGCACAGGCAACAGAGCACAAAGTTTAGAGCTAAAGGAATAGATCCAGTACGGAGTCAGGTTTGTTTGCTGTTGCAGGAAGACTTACCTAA